TGGACGTTGTTTTGGCTAGGGTTCCTTGTGAAAATGCTACTAATGTGTTTAGGTTACAAGTGAACCTAGTTGTGGCTAATCTTTTGGTGAAAAATGGATTGGATAGTAACGATATTTATCGCGAAATTTACGTAGTTTTCATCGGACCTTGTAGTCCTATGCTTGAGATTTTCAGGTGTGATGATCAAATATGGCATGAAGGAAATGTATGGATTTACAAACCTGATTTGAGAAGACTCAAACAGAAAATTCTCATGCCTGTTGGATCTTGCCAACTTGCCACTCCATTTGCCGTACAAGGTATGTTGTTAATCTTTTTTTTTTGAGTTCATCTAAATACTCTTCGATTTAAAATTATATCTAAAAACAATATTATTTATATGTAGATTTGATATATGTTGAATTCTCTCGACATCTCAATGTGTTTGTGTTAATATATTTAAGATTCTTAGTAAAATCCTGATTCTGCTACTATACACACTATCAACATAAATGACGAGATGGAAATAAAGGCTACTCGGAACTCACGACTAGCTAGCGTTTGGTCATTTTGGATATGATTTTCAAAATTTATTTTTAAATATTTGTTTGACTATATATTTTAGATCAAATTATGAAAATCAGTCTTTAAAAAAATTTCAAGTTCCAAAAATTGGTTCATACTAGTTTTTGAAATTTTGGGACTTCTACTCACAAAACTTCAATATTTTTACGAGCAAAATGCTTGTCGAAACACAACTTCAAAAACTTCAAGTTTTCAAGTTTGAACTTCAAAATTTATAGCTAAGTAACCTTAGAATGGGGATTTTACGTGCCATACCAAACAAATGTGATCTGATAGTGTAAAAAACAAAAAGAAAATTACACGTTGGTGAATATTAGTTTAAAATAAAATAAAATCAGGTACTCTATGGTTCAAAATATTCATTTTCTAGAACGCTTATATGTTACGTGTAACGTGTTATAACTTCTATTTTTGGATAAGTTAGGACCAAATATAACAACTTCAAGATCTCATGAAAAGGGAAATTATTGAAGCATCAATTTTTTGTACTTTGAATTTCTTTTTGTTATGTATATATATGGCATCATAGTTGATAATTATTTTCTGAAATAATTGACCACATGAATTGTTTGAGGATATGTTTCAAAGCATTGAACAAATCCACTAAACTAACTTGAGAGGAAAAAATTGCTAGATTTAGAAAATGATTTTTTTATGATTAATCCTGCATTTAGAAGACAATATTAAATGGAACATGGAGTATTTTTCAAGGGATAAATTTTGATAACTAGGTAAAGTACATTATTATTATTGTAATTGGGCACCCACCCAATTGTCTCTTTATAGCAATCTGAACATAGGTGCTTCGAATCTATAATAAGATGGAAATGAATCAATGACAGTAAACCAACTTACCAAAGGGCTAAATTAAATAAAATCATTCAAAATTTAATTCAATTATTCTACAAATAATAATAATTAAGTAGTACATTTCCCAATCTTTGTGAAGAGTGTAATCCAATAATTTACCATATTAGAAAATAAAGGTAAAAATATGTAGGCAAGTGGGGTCAAACTTTCAAGATCGTACATCACCGTATAAGTACTCCATTAGTTCTTATTTATTTATGTGATATAGTTTTATTTTTTAATTTAATTCAAAAAGAATGTATACTTTCTTATTTAGAAATAATTTTACTTTAAGCTTTTTATTGTGCCTTTAGTGAGATGATTTATAATCACAAATGTTTATGACTTGTTTTAGATTATAAATTTCAAAAGTATTTCTTTCTTTCTTAAATTTTGTTGTCAGTCAGATACCGTCACATAAATTGGTACGGATGAAATATTTCATTTACTCTTTTTCTTTTATATATTTTTCGTCGAGTTTCCGATATCTACATTGTAGATCCAACTAATCTGAATTCGTGTCGCGTAAAACCCATTTAAGGGTGGAGGAATCCTATCCATTCCACCACAACCCTCATTGGTTATTTTCTTTCATACCCAAGACTTGTTTTTTCTCTTTTGCTATGTTTATTTTAAGGGTTACAACTTACACCTCATTCATTATGTTTACCTTGGTTGAAACTACTAGGTCGAGAAGTATGGAGAAAATTTGGCTCATCATCCACAAGCAACAAAAGTGCACACAAGCCAAGAGAGGCTTATGTTACTGTTCTTCACTCCTCAGAATCATATGTCTGTGGAGCAATATCTCTGGCACAAAGCATCATCTTATCCAAATCCACGAAAGACCTAATTCTTCTTGTCGACAACTCAATATCACAAGAAACTCTACATAGTCTCAAACTAGCAGGATGGAAGATCAAAATAATAGAAAGAATAAGAAACCCTCATGCAAAAAGAGGCACTTACAATGAATGGAACTACAGCAAGCTCCGGATATGGCAACTAACTGAATATGACAAGCTTATCTTCATAGACGCGGACTTCCTCTTCTTCAAGAATCTTGATCATTTCTTCGTGTTCCCACAGTTATCAGCTGCTGGTAACTGTAGGCATGTGTTCAACTCAGGGATCATGATAATCGAACCATCGGAGTGTACTTTCAAAACCCTAATGGAGAAAACCCTATGTGTTGTTTCGTACAATGGAGGTGATCAAGGGTTTTTGAATGAGGTCTTTTCTTGGTGGCATAGGTGGCCTGCTAAACTGAATTTTTTGAAGAATTTCCAGACAGATGAAAGTCGAAAATATGAATATCCTAAGGATGCATATGCAATGCATTACTTAGGTTTAAAGCCATGGATGTGTTACAAAGATTATGACTGCAATTGGGATGTTTTGGAATATAGGGATTTTCCAAATGACTTAATTCATGCAAAGTGGTGGCAAGTTTATGATTTAATGCCAAAGGAGCTTCAGAAATTTTGTGATTTGACTCCAGAGATGGATACAAGGATAAGATTGGAGAGACAAAAGGCTAAAATTTCTAATTTTTCTGATGGCCATTGGAAAATTCAAGTGAAGGATCCAAGAAGACTTTCTGATTCTGACATTTGATTAAAATTATTATTTAGGAGGGTAGAGGTGTACAATAGGTTCAAGTCCTAATTGACGTATTTAAGTGAATTATATGAACAACTTTAAGGGGCCACAAATGACTTGAGCCTTTATTTTTCTATCTCCAAAAGAACTTCTTTGTTGCTTCTTGTATTATTATTTTATTGGCTCGATCTATTAATTATGAAATACTAGAAATGAAAAAAACTTATACACCACTCATATATATGTCAAGATGGACTTGGAAATTTTTAATGGATACCATAAAATTCTCGAAAACTCAGGCTAATGAATTGCTATACTGTAATTTGTTTTACTATGGAACTTGCTACTAAACGTACTTCTATATAATTAAACAACAATAGACTTGAGGAAAACAGAAAAAGTATCACTTTACAAATTATATCATGTGCACATAATATGTTGAGCATATGTAGAAATTGAGTCCTCTTTAGACAATCAACGTCCAGACCAGTTCCACTTTTTGGTATTAAGTAGGCGTTTGGCCATGCGATATCATATCACGATATGGTGTCGTGAGATGGAATCAGCGTTTGGATATGCGATTTTACGCTGATTCCATCTCATGATTCCATATAATGAGAGGTGATACCATATTCTCCAAAAACCATGATATGGAATCACCATGTGATTCCATATCATGATTTGAGATATTTTAATACAATAATTGATCCATGAGTTTATATTTTGTTAAAACAACTTCACATTTATATCTACTAACCATTTGTTTCAAATGTAAATAAAATTTATAATCACATCATTACGTTTTAAAATTTATTATTCTCATCAATATAAAATTTATTATCACTTTAAATTTGGTAAATATAAATGATAAAGTAGAAATTCATTTGGTGAATATAAATGAGAACGAAGGGAGTAATACTTTTTTGATTCTTCATAATAAAAAAAAACGTCTTAATCTTATGACTAAGCATAATATTGATAAAAGACAATTTTCATTGGTGGTGCCGCACTTTCTTAATCTTAGTATTTGCAAAATGTTCGTTCACATAACTGAAGGATATCAAGTCCAATTGATTGAAGACTTGGGAAAATTTGATCAATTAGTTATTAATATTTAGTCAAGTGGACTAGTTATAATTTTTTTTGATTAAATTTTATTAGAAGTATTTTTGATTCAAACTTGTGGTAACTTTTTAAAATTTCGTTATTCAACAATATTTAACTATTGATTTTTCTTGTAAATAGATAGAAGTTAGTGATGTTTGTTAATTTTTATCTTAGAGCATTTAACTTCTAAGTTAATATTTACTCACTAATGTATGTTTTTTTTCTACTTTATAGGTTATTTGTAAGAGTAGTTGAGAGATATGAGCATATCAAGTACAATTTATGTTCAATTTTTTTAATTAAATTAAAGTTAGATAAAACAATTATTTAACTGAAGAACAAATAACTTTGTAATAATTTATTATGCGATTTTATAATTTTTGTTTATTTAATAAGATTGAATAAACAATTGGGGCTATTTTAATAGTTTTACAACTTATGGAATTTTTATGTTTATAAGAAAATATACAACACAAAAATTCCATATCGCATGTCCAAACAAATCTTCAATTTCATCTCATGATTCCATATCATGATTTCATATCGCATGGCCAAACGGCCCCTAGGCATACGTAGTGCTTTAACCAAGTATCCATATAGACACTAGAACATATTATGCTTAACCTAAAATATTAAATATAAAAAAAAAAATGTAAACATAATGATCAAAAGGAATTGAATTGTTTACTTTGATTTTCATTTTGGTGTCGAGACTCATAGAATCTTTACAAGACAAGACTTTAGATATTTTTTGTTTTTAGCTCTATAAACAAACATTCATAACCCTTCTTAGTGTGGGATAAGTATACTTCATATTTCTAACGAAAAGATCAGATAAATGCACTCGCAACAACCATCATTTTTTTCAAGCAAATTACATCTGCACTTCAAAATGAGTCATAAACCCGGAAACAAATCCTTGCAGTAAAGTGGAACAGACAATATTGGTGGCTACAATCTGCCATACCTATGCTGATTGTCCTACATGAAGGAATTTTACAACTCAAGAAGATACAGTAACTATATTCCCACTTCCTTGAGAAGGGGAGAAAAAGAAAAATATTGGAAGGAGGATCAATCACGCGTGGTAACATATCATTTTGTTGCTGGCTTGTGAGGTAGAAGCAAAACAACAGCACATGGATCAACCCTGTGACTAGTTTGTTGCATATCTTTTTGTCGCCAAGTGTGGTTAACATATACAGTAAAGATGCTTCATAGAAGAGGGAGAAAAATAACCTCTTCCTTGAGCAATGCATGCTGATACAGAAATATACAATCACTTTCCTGGAGATGCAAACCTTGAACGCTCTCTCTGCCAATTCAAAGCTCGATCCTTGGGAGAAGATGTTTTCCCTGCCACACCTGCTTGACGCATCATCTCTACAACCAATAATGCACCCGGTTCGTAATTAGAATCTTTTGTAATTCAGAACCAGAAAAGTGACTCAAAACATTTCTCTCCAACTAGTGGTATTGGATTCAAAGGTATTCCATTTGACAAAACAAGTGTGAAGCTAAACATTGAACAGGTTCACATGGAGGTTATACCAAGTCAAAGTTTCACTATGAAACTAAACCCAATGCCTTGCAGTAAGTAGCATCAGCCATTCTGAGTGACCTAATCTGCAAGTTTTCTAGTCAGATGCAGCAGCACAGTTCCTAGGGGCAGAATTTTCTACATTGACCGTTCATAACTAGGCAAAATATATTAGGTATAAAATATAAAAAGGCTTGGGTAACCCAAAAGTGCCCAACTTATGACTTTGGGCTGATTTTGCCTTATAAGCACTTTTGGTGCATATCAAACACATAAGTAAACGAAAAAGTTCTTACAAACTTACTCGAACATGTCTAAATATCACAAATGGAGATGAGACGAGAGAAAGATAGAAGTAGAAAGAAACGTGTTCAAGTTGTGAGTTGATGGTGTTGGCAATTTCAAGTAAAGAACTCATTGGAGTTGTGTTCCCAGCACCCACATTTCAAGCCTTGCCATCTTCCTTTTCTTATGGCACAATCAAGTCGACGATATCTTTCTAGTGGCTGTACTACTATATGACTATCCACATAACAAATGGATCCCAGGATCTTCTGTGTTTCCTATGATCCACCATAGAGCACCTTCCTAAATGTATGAGGAAAAACTTTGCCGAAAGAAGACAAAAGAGATAAAGTGCAAGCATTTTGCAGATAAATTCATTCCCTGATATGATGTCCAAGAAAAATTTCCAGACCTTTTAGGCATATATTATTCTACATATAAATAGATCCCTCAAGAATTTTTTAGCATAAGATGTTCTACAGAAACTAGCATCAAGATTTTCAAAAGCAAGAAATAGAGTGTATTACTCGAGAAAACACAAACCTTCCATATTCATTATTGAATACTAACCAGTGCAATTTTCGTTACACACTTAAAACTTGAGATACAAAACACTTCATCCACCCATTTTTTGTTAGCATAATGTGACTAGGCATTCACTTAAAAAGTAAAAACAAACTTATACCATTTTAAGAGACGTGGAGAACAACGATAGAGCAAAAGTTTAGCCTACGATGATATAACGTTTCCAACAATAGAAAAAGAGGAATGGTGCAGGGAAAGGTTACACATGCTAGATGACAGCTCTCTGAGAAGATTATTCTAGTTTAATGAAAAATGAACAATATTGAAACTGGGGCTACTGTAAAAAGTCAAGCACAAAACATAATACGGTGCATCACGTGAATACTGAACGGTCAATGCACAACTACCCATGCATGAGTTCATGTACAGGAGCAGAGTGAGAAAAGAGCATCAATCAGATAAATCAACAAATTGAAAACAAGAATCATGTGAATAGAATAACAAGAGCTTATATAAACAAATAAAGAAGCAAGATTTACCTCGCTTTCTTTCAAGTTCTTGGTCAAGCTCTTCCTTCCACTTCCTTTGAATCTCACTAAAACTTGCACTATAAAAAAGAAAAAACTTATCTTCACATTACAGGGAAAATAAACAAGACAAAACAAAGTTGATTTATACACTTACATTGGACTATTTGATTGCCTCCGCTCATTAGACTGGGGTGAACTGTCATCATAGTCTTGATTGCTTCCGCTGCCAATGCATGATGTTCGCCTGTTGCTACTTCCAGGGCTTGGACTAGTGATGATATCAATTCCTGTAGACGGGCTTCCAATAGGACCCCGACTTGGTGACCTACTTTTCGGGGGTAACCTTAAGTAATTTGGTGTAGTTTCATCAATTGTAGCCTCAACTAACTGAGGAGAGGAGTATGAAGGATTCAAACTGTTGTAGAACTCTTCATACAGAGGTGTCTGCAGTTTCTTTAGTTCAAGCGCCTAAAATACAGAGATAAAACAACAACGTTAAACGCAAAACTAGAAATATGTCATAACGGATCTTCATAGAGAGATGTCAAGCAACATGAGAAGTTGGTACCTTTTCGTCCAAGAAGGCCCTGATTTTTGACTCAGTAAGCTCATCCTCATCTTCTGAAATGGAAGGACCACATAAAACTGCAGAATTGTTGTTAGGTGAGGCTGAGCTCCCAGCACCTAAGCCACCTTCCTGATTGTTAACTAAATCTGTATTCCCTTGTCGCGATTGAGGAGTCATGCCATAATCACAGTTCCAATCATCAGAGGGCTCAGCAATGGGATTGAAACTCTACTTAACATAACGATATAGAAGAAATCAAACTCGAGTGGAATGTATATATTTTTAGTAACAAAAGCAGCAATCTGGAGACACTTAATACCTTATTGAAGTCATCCACCGTCTTAACAGTGCTAAATGTTGTTCCTCCATCCAAGAGCAAATTATCATTATCATCAATCTGACACATGTCATCATCACTACTGTTTCCTCTCCACATATTTCTAGCCTCCAACAAGTTATCAGTATTTTCCGTTGAGATATTCAAGGTACCCAAGTTGCAGATGTCTACTGAACCAGCACTGGTTGTCACAACCCATCAATATGATATTAGATATAGCTGCTGAATAGTCCATATAATCAACAGAGAAACATATAATCCATATTGTCCATTTGAAATGCAACCAAAAGCTATTGCAAAAGAAGATGCATACAGGTTTCAAAATTTCAAGTTCAAAATCTACAAGATTTCTTCATCACACTTTTCAATGTGATGCTTATTTTGTTGATTTAGTCATCATTTCATATCCTTAATATCAAACGAATATAGCACAATGGAAGAAAAGGATCTATATAGGGTGATTGTAATTTAGTTATTATTAAGTGTTAGCCATGTTAGCACGTTTTTTTTAGGTCCAATGTTTTCTAGGAGTTTCTTCAGCCTACCAGAGATTTATATGTCAGTAGAAGATGTGACGAACTTCTATTACTTGTTACTTTTTCACTATTTGTCCATTATTCAGTGCAGTAAAATCTAGTGGAGGTGGTTCCATATTCATGAAAAGTCAGGTCTGACTTCTATTTTTTTTTTTTAATGTGGTGTCCATGCCAGCTTGCTATACTAAAATGAGCTTAAATGGAGTGGGATAGTAAGAATTCATATAGCCAACACGTCAACTTGCTTGTTCAGACTTGAGGCATAGCTATTGTTATGTTACAAATCAAAGAATTTCAAACTTTTTCTACATCTGTTGACATTAGCATTTACGTAGTGAAACTGTAAGCTTTAGTTCCTGTTAAGAATTTGAGATTACACGATGCAAATACTATCAGTCTGCTAAAAGAGAGCCTTTGGAGCACTTACACACTTTTCGCATTATGCCCACTTGAATAAGAGTGACCTTGAGATTTGCCCTATCAGTAAATGAAGTTCAGAATGTAAGTGCCTGAGCAATATCAATTACATTGCCAATTGATGTAGATAAACTGACCATCATAGAACTAGAACCATCAGGAAGAGACAGTTGTGCTTCACCGGTGACAAATGGATGCTACATGCAAAGATAAGAATTAACTCATTGTTGCGTAATACAGGAGACAAAACAATAAAAGATTGCCTTAGATCAAATCAAATCACCTGTAATAACTCACTAGCTGATGGCCTTAACTCTGGTTCCCTGCGTGAAATATCTTAGTTTCATTAATGGTGTAAGGAGGAGAAATTATACCAGATACAATAACCAAACAAAGGGTGAAGGAATCAGCATTATATCTACTGGTTACACTAATCCAGAAAGCATCACTTTTTTCAAGGTCACTTCTGAATAATTAAACATCAGAAACTTGGTAAGACTTATATAAGAAGGAAATCATATAAACTATATTCCTTCCAATTAGTAATATTCTCAACTCTATATGTTGTCATATCTATGCCTACTACGAATATCAAACCACTGTTTATTGTGCTATTATTGAACTTCTTTCAGAGCAGGCAAGTGTCAACTACATACTTCTGTAAGCACTTCAGCAGAAAGTCTTTTGCTTCAACAGACACGTGTTCAGGGATCGGGGGATGAGCTTTTGTTGTCCCAATATAGAAGAGTGCAGCAACCTAAAGCGAACAAGGGATCAGTGCAAAGCATGAGTGGATCCGTGTATAGTAACCAGTTTATTATGCCAAAAGGAATACAAAGAAAAACTTAAGACCTGCATCAAGTGTATACCTCTTGATACTGTTGGCTCCAGGGAGGCTTGCCAGTAGTCATCTCTATTACAGTACATCCTACACTCCATATATCAGCAGAGCTGAAATTCATATACAAAGACATTATCATTACCAGCAGAACCTATACTGAAGAGATCGATTCAAGGAATATGTTGCAAAGGCAAATAGAACCAGACGCATACATTAAGTCAAAAACAAGATCTGTCATTTCTCCAATGACTTTTACTGAATCAATTCAAAGTCAAAAACAAGATTTGCTATTTCACCAAGAAACTCCTCTTCCATCAGAAAGTTCTGTTCAACTAAAAAGCGACAAATTTTACTTTTGATTCAAAAACTGGAATACTAACTTCAATAGTTTACTATTTGCTTTGATCAATAAATACATTAAAGTTAAAATTATTCAAAGTATCACAAGAAGTAAAGGTGACACAAAATCTGAAAGCATGTTCATAACTCAGGAGGGTGGCAAGGTGAACTGTAAGAAAAACCAGCATTTTAACTAGATAAGGAATGAAAATATAAGGCAGTACACATAAATACATAACACCAGAAAATTTTGACCAATGTGGACCATTATACGAAAAGGTAGCAGCTATTCCAAAATAAAATTTAAAAAATGGACGATTCCTCTAAAATTAAAGAAGAGGCAGAAATGTTTATGAAAATGAAATATGGAAGTGAGAATAGCATAAATAAGCTATAAGTTCTTCTATCATAGAGAAGAAACTGTTAGGCTCATCATAAAAAGAAAAGTAAGAAACGGCAGGGGACATTTATGCACAAGAAAACACTAACTCAAGTTCACAAACCATGATCAAGTTTGCAGCAATGAAACATGGTCAAGTATGATCAGATTATTGGATTTATTCTTTTAGTATCTAACTAAATCAAGAGCTAAGACCCATTTGTGAAACCAAAAGTGCACTTCCCAAGTCATCAGCAAAACAAACAAAACGTAAGCTCAGTCTAGAAATGAGATCCAAATAAGTGATGCATAAAGGCTATACAATTGCAATCTAGATCAAACAAGAACATAAGCTACAGTTTCATCAACAAAACGCTGTAATTATTCTTACAAGCTATGACCAGTTTGGCGAATGACCTCAGGAGCCATCCAATATGGTGTGCCTTTCATGGACTTGGCACCTGATATAGTAGCCTAATGTAAACATGTTTCATCAATATTCTCTTCATTATATCCAAATTAAACCAAACAAATATAGATTGAGAATGGATGGTGACGGTGAACATACCAGTTCGACAACCTTCTTTGATGCCCCAAAGTCAGCCAGTTTTATGCAACCTTTGTTATCAACAAGGATATTTGCCCCCTGAACCCAAATTAGTACACGAGATTATTGTTGGTCATAATATTACAGAAAGAAAAGAAAGGAAACAAGATACCTTAATATCTCTATGCATTATTCCATTCTTGTGAAGATAATCCAGTCCTAGGAGCAATTGCTTAGTGTACGCTCTTATAACCTACTACCGAAGATAGTATTAGATAGAGTCATTCAATCAAATGAATTATACATCAAAAGAGGGTGGAAAAATAAGACCGACAATGAACTTACGGGCTCTGGGAAAGATCCAAATTTTCCTAAAAGGGATGATATCGATCCACCAGGTACAAATTCCAGCAAAATATTCAATGTGTCTTCTTCTCTCACAATTCCAAGATATCTCTGACAACACAATATAGCAATTGAGTATTTCATGGAAAAACAATTCCCCAGGTAGGAGATCAAGGATTTACTTACAACAATATGCGGATGGGAGAGATTCTTGAGAAGCTTGACTTCCTCCTCAAGCTCCTTAACGTGGGACTAATCAGGACATAAACCAGAAGAATGTATCAGACAGTAGCTTTATTATCTACTTACATCTCAAAAAAGTAGATATACAGCAGTCTGTCAGATGTCTTAAGCCCTTAGATTCAATAAAACAACCTTCCATCTTAACATAGTTATCATATAAACATTTCCCTCAACACAATGTCGGTCACCACAAGTAAAACAAAAAATAGCTAAGAGCTGAAAACTCATTCATCAATGGAAGGGGAAGAAAAAAAACAGTTAAAAGGCATATATGCTCCAACTATAGTACAAGACACTGGCAGAAGGAAACTACGACATTGTAAACCAAAAAATAGCTAAGAACTGAAAACCCATTCATCAGCGGAAGGGGAAGAAGAAAAAAGTTAAAGGGCATATATGCTCCAACTATAGTACAAGACACTGGCAGAAGGAAACTACGACGAGAAGGCAACGTCATTGTATCATAAATGCAACTACTCTAGCAAACTTCATGATGAATGATTTCCAACTTGACAGAACTTAGCAGCCAAGATTGAAAGTACAACCAACAAACATTTATATAATCAAACATCCCAATGATTTAACCAATTAAACTTATCTCTTAAAAACTTCGATTCAAGCAACCAATAAAAGGAGTGATTTATATCATTGTAAGTTCCAGACAAAACAAAAAGTATCTCAATGTCAATTTCAACCTGCGCTTTCTCCTTTGAGGCACTGTTTGCAGCTATCATAACCTGAAGAAAAAATATAACAAATCAAACACACTTTCAGGATCACTCTTCAGAAAAAGTAAAGTACCTAATAATTCCACTACAATCAACAAAATTAGAAGTCCAAAACCAAAAATAACAAATACAACAATAAAAACCTGCTTGACGGCGAGAAGTTCTCCAGAATCGAGATTCATTCCCATATAAACCTGTCCAAAAGCACCACATCCTATCATCTCTCCTTTTCTCCATCTGATAGGTAGTGTAGCCGCATCACCGCCATCTTTAACGGCGGTTGTCGGTGATGGCAACGCTCGCGGAGTAGGCGACAGCTTGGAGAAAACTCTAGAGTTCCGGATGCAGGAATTTATCTTCTCAACTAGATTACCGTCATCTGCGCCGTCGGCATTCGGCGTTCGGAACACCAGTGATCGCCGAACTGATCCGAAGATATCTTGCATCTGATTTTCGAGTGAAGGAATTCAAAGTTCTAGGGTTTAAAGTTAGTGAAAATGAAGAGTCACTTCATCTATTTGAATTTACTCAGTTTTTTTTTTTTTGTTGCTTTCGCAGTGCTAAACGGAGAAGAGGAATAGAGAGAGAAACAGAATGATTTTGTGGTTTTTTTTGTTTCAGTCGATCGTTACTGTAGAGAAAGGAAGAGAGAGAGAGGAGGGAAAAGGTGATAGGCAATTTCTTTTTGAAAAAAGATGGAATAAGAATTAGAATTACAAAATAGCCCCCCTTTTATTATTCTAGAAATCTTCTTTATTTTTCAAAATCTCTGACTTTAGTGTTACCTTTATTTTTTCCAACAAGTAAAACCGTTGTTATTTCCTTTGAAAGCTAGAAGTTCTATCACAGAGAATTATTTTTTTCAGTGTCTTGGAACAAGAAAAGGAAGAGAATATTAAAAATGGAAGTATTGAAGAGAGTGGAGACTTACAAGTTATTTGGTGTAAGGAGTTCATACTAGGCAACAATAAATGTGTCTTCGTCTCAAACAAGTTGGAATTGACAATAAAACTCATATCATATCAGAGTCTAGACTAGACACTCACAAAAAGAGCTCTCGCATAGTAAGAACATGCAACACGAACACCCCCTCCAACATTAATTTACTAGTATTATTATCAACGTTTATTTTATAGAATTGATTATTGAAGGCACCATGAATACTTGAGGATAATCCACAAGTATTTAATTTCATAGTTAAGCAACCTGTTCCATCTAAGCTGAGATGTTTTGCCTTAAAAGATCTTGTTCGAAACGAGTTAAGCAGATAGTAAGCCCAGTAAATTTCAAGTACAAACAATCGACATAGAATACTATAGGGGCCTACAAATGGGAGCAGGATATCTTATAAATGCACAGATCAATTAACACAATGATCAATCAGCAAATCTTGAGGCTAAGCTGTACCCTTAAGGGGTGGGGATTGATAAGCAATGAATATAGCTCATAACAGTAGGCAAGATGCATACACTGTGTATAATCGAGGGGAAAGAACAGAAGAAATCTATACCAAGGGGCATATACTCATGGAAATTTCTGAGCTCTCTAACATCATTAAGAAGAATACAAGGACTTCCTATTGCTACTTCTCGCGACCTTCTTCAGAGGACTCCACACCAATTGCTTCTTTAATGCAACAACTGTTGGATGCTTGGGCCTCCATGAACCTGGTGCTTGTGAAGGAGGACTTCCCATGAATTTACTGCTTCGTGAACCAATTGGGGTTGCCCCTACTGGTGTTGCAATAGATGTTTCCTTTGCCTGTGCTATTGGAGAAAGCATTCTAGATGTACGCCACATTCTTTGTGGATCCCAGACAAATGATTGCCGACCAATGAACCGGTCATTCCTTGGTCGAGCAGCAGAGTTATTGAAAGTTGAAATGCTAGACTCAGGGCGAAGGGTTGCAATAGAAGCCCGTCTTTTGGGCTGGAAAACCTGGTTTGTTCCTTGAGGTGGTGGTCTAACTGCAATAATAGATCCTCGCCTTGGTTTCAAAACTGCCTTTGTCATTGATGTTCTTTCTATATTTTCCTTGTCATGTGATGCCGATGGCACAAAGGACTTCCTAGTTTTTGCAGGAGGACGAGCAAGAGGGGATGGAGGGGGCACAAAATTGCTGATTTTTCTCAAAGGCAGTCTCAGTGCTTTTGAAGGAGCCAGTGGTGGTTTCTTCTCTGTTGTTATCTTCTGTGGTTGGCTTAAATATGACGAGGTTGTGAACTCACGAGAAGCTCCAGCTAAAGCCTTGCTTTCCTGCTTTAGACGTATTTTCCTCTCCTCTGCCAATTGGTTTTCCAGATCACGAACCTGTTGCGACAATTGAAAAGGCTTAGAACTTAGAGAATCATGACTTGGAAAAGCTTAAACTTAGAATGTGTAGCTACAGTGTAAATGTGAAACTACCAGAAAGTCTTGAGAAATGCCAGTAGAAGAAGGAAGCTACTTTCTTTCCTACCTTATCCTGAAGACTTCGGCACGTCTGTTCTCTGGTAGCAAGTCTCAGCTGCAGAGACTGCAAATTGTCCTGCAATTTTTTGGTTTCCTTCTCATCATGCTTCACTTTTTCTGCCTGTTGATGAACATCACAGCATTCATTAGCCGGACAACATTTTTAATGGACACTACATTCAAAGAGGTGTTTGTTTATAGGTACCAGTAGTTTATGCTTCATGAGCTCTGCAAGGTCTGTCTGTTTGCGAGCAGGGCCGTGCTCAACTCCTCGAACTCGACTAGCAAAATTCAGCGAGCATAGAGTTTCTCCCAAATCTGTGTTATTAGGGCTGATTTGGACAAACATGACTGCTTTGCAATCTCCCCCTGCATTTCATGTTGGAAAAGTTGTACACATCAGAGAATGGGGAGAAAATATAAACCTTGTGAACTGAGAAGATACAGCTTGAGATATTTCGGTTAATCAAAGAAAAATATGAGCAATCGTGTTGAAAGGATTAACTACTTGTTCTCATCAAGTCAATTTGGAATTTAAACTGAAGGTCTAATATTTTGAAGGGACTCTATCCCAAAATTCAGCATTATCTTATAATACAGATGCTTTAAAGAGTCTTACCCAGAGAGCTCTGCAGCATATGTGTGAGCTTTGAATTCCTGTTGTACAGAGGGACCAATGTTATTCAATGGAAATATAGTACTAAATGGGGTTATTACATGCACAAATGGAAGGGGAGACATACCTGTATGGAATATGAGATGTCTTAGAGGCTAGTGCAGAAATGACATCCCCAAGTGCAGATAATGACTTGTTTATGAATTGTGACTCTTTCAACCTCTCGCCTTCAACGGCTATCCGCCCCACACGCTCACTGCCAGCAAGGTCAACAAGCCAAAGGTGGCTCCTAGTCCTCTGGTCATTAATCAAGTTGTCTCCCACAACAGTCACCCGCAGTAAGCTAAGGTAAAAGTGACAAAGAAAGTGTGACTCTTCATTGATGAGACCTAATAGCGGATTGTAATACTAAATTCTTTGAAATTGTCAAAACTAGGGGTGAAGATAGGAAAGACGAATGTGAAATCTAGAGTAAGTTTTAAAAATCTTACCAGTGAGAGCGGCTGCTAAGTTCGTTAGCACTAGTTGATCCAACAGATCTTGCCCGACTTCCGGACTTGAGCAGTTCCCATACTTCATCTGTACCATATACACGAGCCTCAACAAGTCCTGGAACTTCCTGAGTTCCTTCTGCAGATTGTTTTATCTCCAACCTGTTTCATATTCATATATAAGATCATTTCTTCGAAATACACACACAGACACATGCAAATATTTTCTTTCCTCAAAAAAAAAAAAAAAAAAAAAAAAACAGAATCTCTAGTTTCTGGTTCACTACTAACTTTGAAAAACTTTTCTCAGCAGAACTGCAACAATTGATACTACTTTCTTCGAATCGGACCCTTATGATCATTTAACCAATATACTGTTTCTAGTTCCAGTTTGCAGAGTGCCTTTTCTGAATTACGAAAATTGTTTTTGATAACATAGAAATACTTAAACATAGTTGGTAGAGTTTGCGCAGAGAGCCTTTATGATCATTTAACCAAAGCACTGTCTAATTCCATTTTGCAGAGGGCCTTTTCTGAATTATGAATCAGTTTTTAGGAAAACGCTTTTCTTCAAGAGATACTATTTACTTGCCTTTAGCTACTGTAAAAATTATATACATTAAGATCAACTTACAGAGTCATTATATGAATGAAACATATATATATCCCCTTGGCCAATTATGTTTAACACTTTACATAAAACCAAAAACAATTTCTATAATTCAAAATACGCCCATTGTAATCTCCAAAGTCCAGCACATTTACTTCTAAATTCTGGTGAGAGAATGTGTGCCACCCTAGAATGATGTTCTTACCGTGCCATTATCAGCCTTATGGGTCTTAACTGTTGAAGCTTGAAAGCAGAACCAAGCCAGTAAAATAAAGAGATTAAGAACTTACTTCTTAACCGGTTGATTTGAGTTCTCTACCAGGAGATCTTTTATTTTCTCATTATAAACCTCTAACATGCTGACAAACAACTCATATTTCATGATACTGCTTCTCTCACTAGATAAGCTAAATAGCTTCTCTAAAGTTCTGTAGTTGACTCCCCTATTTTCTGGTGTCCCTTCCATGGTAAACGTCTTCCCTGTTCCAGTTTGTCCATAGGCAAATATGCAGACATTATACCCATCCAAAACAGAGGTCACAATGGGCATTGTTTGAGAAAAAACGGCATCTGCATTAGAAAAATTAAAGGATTTAAATGTCAAATTACAATAAGTAATAGAAAAATTCCTTACAGAAAATCTTAGATACACATCAAATCACAGATATCGACTTACCTTGGCTGTCCTCGGGTTTAAACACGTAATCAAACTTAAACTGCTTTTTAGAGGAACCTGCACAACTGATCTGCAGTTCATTTTCATGAGATAGATCAAATTCGACCACCGATGTTGATCCATCTACAATTTCACCTGCATTTAGAGGTCTACATCTACAGAAGACCCTGATATTTCCTTTGAGTTCGATCACTTCATTGTATAGACGCTTTCTTTCAGTACATTCCTCCAAATATTTCTTCTTCAGTAGTTGACACTCTTCATCGAACTTTTTTTTAAGAACTTCATGTTGAACACCTGAAATAGCCAAAGAGATCACAAATAGATCACAATCGATAGCACACAACTGTATAGAAAAACCAGATATGAGATGCTGTTCATACACTCCTCCGTATACTTCTGCTTCAGTAGTTCGCACTCTTCATCATACTTCTTTTTTAGAAGTTCATGTTGAACACCTGATATAGACGAAGGACCAGAAATAGATCAGAATTTCTAGCATACATCTGTATAAAAAAAAAAAAACAGATATGCGAATGTTGTTCATACTCATATGCTGAAGAGCACTAAAAGCTTCAGAACCAGAAAAAGAGTCCACACTTGTGCTCTCCTTGACTTCATTACATAATGCTGCCTGTTCTTTCGTCAATTCCTAAAAACGAAGGGATGTTAAAATGAATAATCATTCATTTGATCTCCATTGAAACATTACATTTTAGAAAGAAGTGGTTAACATCTTACGAGCACTTCGTTGCTATCTTCGATCTTCTCCAGAATTGGAAGAGTCTGCTCTTGATATGATGAACATACTTCTGCGGTACAATGTGAAGCATTACTCTCATCCACTGAACCAGAAGTTCTGTCAACTTTCACTGAACCAATTCAAAAGGCAACAATCCAACAGCAGTAAGAAGCAAAGCCTATTCATTAAGAATGTATACACTACAAACCAGCTCCCTTTAGGTGAAATCAGGGGGGGGCTCAGAGCTTTTGAAATTGTCTTGGTGAAAAGATAGTGTAATTCAAAAGCAAAGTCCATTTTGTGACTCACAATCCAGGAAGACAAATCAGGCATTACAAAATTCCGTCCGAATTCTACCACCCTAACTTTTTCCACATTCATCAAATAACAAGGGGGTAACTAATATCAGTTGCAACCAGTTTCTTAAGTAACCAACAAAGAAGAATGATGCAGCTATTTCTTTAAATGTTCAAACATCAAAGAACCTAACAGAGTTCACACAACAGCTAATCGAAATCTTTAAGCTATTCTCATCACACACAAAATAATTAAATATATCCAAACTATTGACTTAGTCATGTAGAAACAATTACTGGACAAGGATAGAATCTGAAGTTCCATTGTTTTTATACAATTTCTTGGCACTATCAGTTCACACATTCATAAAAAGTAGGTTTAAATAAAATACAAAACATTCCATTCTCAAATAAAGAAACCCATTTGACCTTTCTTGATAGATAATGTTAAAGAAGAGACCAACCTCCATCAACAGTAGGAGAAGTTTCCGGGGTTTCATCTGAAACAAGATCCACAAAGAATCAACCAAATATTCATTACCATTAAACATAAACAAAAAATCGAAATTAAAAAAAAAAAAAAGAATCCAAGAAAGATGGTAAACAAACCCCCATTAAGAATGGGTTCAGCCTTGATCAAATTATCCCCAGAGATGGTAACTGCTTGATCAAAATTATCACATAGCTTTTCTAGGGTTCGATCTGAAAAAAGGAACACCAAATTTTGAAGTTCATATATACAAAACACTTCGAAATTATATATACATATACAAATTAGAGAGATAGAAAGATTACCGTCCATGATTGAGTGTGAAATCAGTGAAGAGGAAGATAAAGAAGATGAGCGAGAGTGAATTTGGGGAGAGAAGAGGAAGAGAGATTTGGGAATTTCTTAAACGGTCACAATGGGGTTTGAATTTATGGTGGGATACCCAAGTTTTTGAATTTTCATTAATCTTAACCGTTAAAGTAAAATAAGAAAACAATCTGTGCCGTCCGATTTACGTGAGCTACCTTTAAAGGCTGCATCTCTTCTAGGAGCGTCTCATTTCTCTTTTAATTTATTTTTATTTACAAAAAGATTGCCTACTACAATTTTGAGATTATAGTAATTGAATACGAATTAAAGTTTTATTCACAGGTGGCATAAAGAGAAAAAAAAGGATTTCACATGTTCAATTTAAATTGATGTATTGATCATCTTTTGTATGTAATTTACAGATAGAGAGACCTATTAATTAACATCAGTTAGATTTGAATGGTATATTAGTAAAAAAATTTGAAAAGGTGATTAAAAGAAGTTGAAGTTGTCCTCAAGCTTTTTTGAATGATCCGAATTTGTTATTTAGCCGTAGTAGGTAAAAGGATAAAATCTAGTCAATTCAATAATTGATAAAGGCATTACATTTAACATAGTCTAGAGGCATTTTTAGATCTTTTATCTTAGGATAGAAGTCGCGTATTAGGATAGAAGGTTAGTAGGGGCAGTAGCAACGCCACATAAATTTGAGGGGTGTCGATCGACATCACTTCATTAGAAAATTACACTGTGTAGCTCTATATATATATATATATATATATATATATATATATATATTACATGTTGACATGATCATTGGCTTCTATGCGATTTTGTTTCTTTATATTTTGACACCCCTTTATCAAAAATTTGGCTCCGCCACTATAGGGGTGAAGTGTTGTTGTCTTGTTGTGCATAGGTTTAGGCTTGTTAGTTTTTGTCGTAACATTAGTTGTACCCTTGTAGTTCTTGCTACATTCATGTTGTTTATTGTGTTTTGATAATCACACTTTTTTGTTGTTATTTTTTCTTTCTCCTTATTAATGATATATTTTCTTCATTGTTTTCTTCTTTTTCTTTTAGTTGGCTTTGATGCATTTGAGTCGAATGTCTTTCGAAAACAACCTCACTATCTCCATGAGGTAATTGTCACGCCCCGAGCTACCCCCAAGACGCGGACACGGGACCTAGGACCACAAGTGATCCCAAGCTAACCCTGCTGGCATGATCATGAGCATACTAAAGATAATAAACTGATGCGGAAGCTAATTCATAAATAAATCTGAAAAGATGGGGAATACCCATATACTATAACTGAATATATCAAATCTGAGAGTTTAATACAAAAGAAATATCAAACTCAAAATACTAAGCTGAATCTAACTATGTCTGAAATAAGCCTTTAAACTGACTAGAAATGTTGGGACATGCCCCAACTAGATCTAGCAAAACTGAAACTAAAGACTAAAAGCGATAAAGATAAACATGTCACCAGTCCTCGAAGAATAAGGACTCACCATTGGTGCTGCTGAACTGAAGAATGGGAACCGATCTAAGCGTGATCTGGATACTGAGAACCTGAACCTACATCACGAGAAGATATAGCGCACGTATGCGTCAGTACTTGAAAGGTACTGAGCATGCAGGATAGAGTAAAGTTGAAATAACATATAACTGAACAAAGCAATAAAGCAATGAAATAATCTGAACATGATATAGATACTGAATGCTGAGCTAACTGAATGCAATGACCAATTTATAACATGCTGAGACTAAATACTGAATATACTGATAAATGGTCAATGCAATAGAATCTGACTGAACTGTGGGAGCTACTAATAACCGACATATAACCACATGAGCTAAATGTGGAGTCCGATGTGTACGCCCCATCGAGAGGACCCAATATACCCTGCCAGAGGTATAGAGGCATGCTGGCGTGATCACTAAACTGATGTTGCCCACAGAGGGGACTTACACCTACGTGGCTCGTAGTTCTGGGACTATATGGGTACGCTGAAACCCTAGTCCAACTTGGTATTATGCTACTCCCAATGAATTAAGTGGTTAACTAGTTATGACTGAATTTCTGTAAATACTGGATAGCTCGAAACTGAACATGCAAACTGAGAATGCAACAATTAATCTAATAATGATGCATTCATAAACTGAGGCATGTATAACTGAATACTGAAATATCTGACCTAGCATGTGTAATTCAAGAACTAAAGAAATACATAGCTAGGGTTCTGAAATTCATGCGATAAACTGAGCAATAACATGATAATCTGATTTGGAACATTTAAATAACTAATTCATGATGATCTGTTGAAATTCTAGAAACCCTAGTGTTGACACTCAATTTTGACCCTCCCCGATAATAATTAATTTCTGAACTTCTTAATTTTTCAAAAACGATTTAAAATAATTAATTTTTAGAAATTTTGAATAAATATATAATAGAATAATTTGCAAGTTGTTTCAAATAGTTTGTCACTTGTTATAATTTTTAAATAATAATATGTCTTTTATACAATTATGTATATAATTAGTGTATTTCATAAATATTGGAAAATCGTCTCAAAAAGATTTTGTTCAATTAGATATTTGATTAGTTTGTTTAGTTATCTAATAGTTTACAATTTTGAGTCAATTAGTTAATTTATAATTAAGTTAATTATTATATAATTATGTGTCTAATTAATATATTTTACGAATGTTCAAAAATTGTCTCAAAAGGATTTTAGCTTTATTTAAATATTGGGTTATTTAGTCGTTTATAGTGCTAAATTAATTAGTTTATAATTAAGTTGATTATTTTATTTTGTTAAGATTAAGAAGCTCGTTAATTAATTAATATTAATTCACTTTATTTAATTTTAGCCGAATTCACTAACTAAATCAATTTGGCTATCCCTTAAGCTTTAGTTGGTTATAATTGTAATGCAATTGACCATTTCCTAACTACAATCTTAGCCGCATTTTGCCCCGATTTTGGACCAATTTTCAGCCAGAACTTGGCCCAAATCCTTCTCCAAACAATACAGCCCATTAATGTCTTCAATTTCTAGTCAACATTACACCAAAATCCCAGCCCACTTTTTTTTCCCCTTAACCCACGCCCATATGACCCAAAACCCGACCCACCTTCCTTTCCCTTCAAAAAGAAAACCCAAAAGCGTACAACTGCACGCGTCAAAGTCCACACTTTCAGCAGCTTCCAACGTCTCTTCACGCGGCGTCTTCACGGCTAGCAAACGGCGTCACTGCACGGACTCTACGCATACAGGCAGTACACTGCCTCTTGCTGTTGTCTTCTGCTCGTCCCTCTCAATTTGCAGTCCCAGCATCACACATCTTTCGTCCTTGGGCGGTGGGATGATGCCACGTTGCGCCACAAGGACGATGAACTTGATCCCAAACGTCCATCTCCCCTTTCCTCTTCTGGAATGGGGCGAATTTCTCAAAAAAGGGTGTTGGTCCGAATTGGGAATTTTTTTTGATTTTCAAATTGGAATGGGTCTCATTCTTAGGGGAATTCTATCGGTTTCCCGCTCAAAGGAGGAACCCTATTTTTCCCTTGTATAAATAATCTCTTGTTTCTTATTGGAACGGGGAGATTTTTTTTGAAAAAGATATAGGGCTGGCAGTTTGAAGTTTAACGGCTAAAGTGAGAATAGTCGGAAAACACATTATACATTAAAGAAAGCAACGAGGATAGTTAATTCTAGTCTAAGTTTCTTTGCTCGATTTCATTGTCGTCACTCCCTCCAAGTTCAGTTGGGGCTGAGATTCCGTCCGAGTCTGCTGCTCGCCGTTCATGCTAGCATTTGTGGGGTGGAATTTGCTGCTCTCCTAGCTTGTCGTCATCCCGTTCGCTGCCCATAACACGGTAAACAACTCGTAATACTTTTACTCGTTTCGAGTTCGATATGTTGGTGTAAAATCCTGCTCTTTGCCGACTTTGATATGACTCTATGTAATGTGTTTAAATCTTAGTCTTTACTGTCTGTTCATCCTCTCTCTGAAGTTGGTGGTATGTTTTTTTTTTCTTTAAGTTGATTTAATGACTGTTCAAGTCCACTTCTCTGTTTTGTGTTCTTTTCGAACCAGCGGCTGTTGTACTTTTTTTTAAATTTTGACTTGTTTCATTGATCAATCAGGGCACTATTCTATTCTCATTTTGTTGAACTAGTATTCATGTTTTTGTTGTGTGTTTGGAGGGAGTCAAATGCATTAGCTAGCTGAACATTCTATTTCTTATGAATATAAGTTGAATTTTGAGATTGTGTTCTTTAATTTCTTTTAATCTGTTCATATCCTGTTCTGGGAGAAAATCCTTCATATATGTTCCCGAGTTATGTGCTGCTCACTGTCTTGCCCCAAGAAATTTGAGCTCTTCTTCTGTGTCTGTACCGTCTCGAGATAGCTATGCCTTGAATTTTTGGGAATGCCGGCAGCTGGTTGCTATATTTTCCTGGTAGCATTATGATGAAGTCCCGTTTTGGTCCCATGTGTTGGTCTTTTCTTATGTGTATGTGCCCATTTTGAGTCTTATATATATATATATATATATATATATATTTATTTTATTTCATTTTGACAAAGTCTATTCTAACCCAGTTTGAATATATACATATGTACATATACGCTTACTAACCATTTAATATATATATTTATTTGTATTAGATTTATTAGTTTTTCTAACCATTTAATATATATATTTATTTGTATTAGATTTATTAGTTTTTCTAACTATTTAATATATATATTAATTTGTATTAGATTTATTAGTTTTTCTAACCATTTAATATATATATATATATATATATATATATATATGTGTGTGTGTGTGTGTGTCATGTGAATGTTGTAATTAATCAAGGATCTCACCTTAAAAGTGTCCAACCAGAACTGTTAATGCTTGAATATTTTGTGAACCAAGTTTTATCTCTTTAGGATTGTTTGAGAGCATGTATAAGTTTGTCTTGAATTAAATAACAATGAATGCATGATTGGTCTGCCCAACCTCTCTAACCAGTCGCGATG